CTGCCCCGCTGCCTCACTCGGGACCCAGGTCCACGTGAGAGGTGCTGGCCAGTGGGCAGCACGGCCCATCTTGTCTGGATAAGCCCAGGAAGGGGCAGGGCTGGTAGCTCCAGGGGGCCACTGTGAGTCCCTACAGCTGGCCGGGAGCCAAAGGCCTCAGCCAACAGGAAATGCTGAGGCTGCAGGGGCCCCTCTGGGATGGCAGTAACGGGGCCGGAAAAGCCAAGAGGCCGGCGTCCACAGGCAGTGCACGGAGTGAGGGGTACGAGGTGCAGCCTGCAGCCAGGAGAACACAGGAAGCTGGCGACCACTGGGCGCCCAGGGCCGCTCTTTCGGCCGAGGCTCCCCCCCGCGGCTCCTCCAGCGAGAGCTCGGGCTGGTGTGAGCGCACTGGCTGCAGGTCGGGCAGATGGAGCTCCAGCCCTGCCATCCACCAGCCCTACCAGATCGTGGGAAACTACCTCAGCTCTCTAAGCCTCGGCCCCTAATCTGCACAAGGGAAGTGATCCGTGGCCTGTCTCCAGGGCTGCAGTGCCCAGGGGGTGACACACATGCAGGCAGCCTCGGTAAGTGGCAGCCGACACCTCAGATCAGCAGGATCGGGGACCTGGGGGTGTGGCCTCGGGCCCCTCTACCGCCCCCAGCCCCATCCCTGCTGGCCTCTGCCCGCGTGGGCTGCCAGAGTCAGAACCCAGGTTCAGAGATCCCATGTCCACGCTGCTCATGACCTGTTCGTTTTCATGGATGGAGACGCTGAAAGTCACCTTTCGGACCCCACTCGCCCATCCTTCTATCCCTCGGTACCCACCATTCATTCGGCAGGGATGTCCTCGGCCGGCGTCTGTGCCTGGCGCCATGCCACGCCATGAGGATGAGGACACAGCAGCCAGCTGCCCCCGTGGGGCTGGCCTGCAGGTGGGGGACACTTCCTCACCCCTCTATCATCACAAGACCTCAGTGTGGGCGAGAGGGGCAGGACTGCTTTTACTCTGCTCCCCTATCAGAGAAGGGGACTCCCCCAGAATCACTCCCTGGCAGTACTAAGCCCACTCTGCTTGGCTCCCTAGCTGGGGCCCCTGGAACATCCGACTGCTCAGAAATGACTCTCCCAAGAGCTAGAGGACATCTGTTCGCAGGCAAAGTTCTTACTCCAATAAACACACAAACATTTGGGTCATTCATATGGAGCCAGCCGCACCCCCCACCAGGAGCCAAAGGCTGAGGCTCTGGGCTTGCACCTGGAGTCCCAGCGCATCCCTGGCGGGTGGTGTGGTGGCAAACACCTGGCCTCCAGGCGAGAGGCCCCGGTTCTAGTCACTGCCCTGAATGAACACATGCTATCTCTATGTAACTTCAGCCACCTAACTTCCCTGAGCCTGTTTCCCCACCTGTGATGCAGGCAATGACAGTGTCCACTTTCTAGAGCCGGGAGGAGTACATGGGCCTGGGTGTTTAGCTCAGTGCCTGGTACACAGTAAACAGGATCATTATTATCACTGTTATTATTTGCTATGATTATTATTATTACTACTACTACTACTACCACTACCACCTGGTAATAGATGCGTCCTGTTAAGGGAAGAAAAAGTGCGACCAGTTAGCTGAGCACTTGGAAGCTTGCTTTAACACAGCAGCAAGACAGATAGAATCCCCGCCACCCTCACTCCTGGGAAGGTTGAGCAGGGTAGCCCAACCCTAAACCTCACCCCACTGACCTCGGCGTAACACCCCCAGCAATGCCAGCAGCTCTGTTTACCCCATAGACGCCTCATTCCTCCTCTGGGCAAGCCAGCCAAGCAGGCCAAGGGACCAGGAAGTCCATGGGCCTCAAAGCCAGGGACAGACCAGACCCATCAGCCCTGGGCCTGGATTCCCACTCAGCCTCTCCTGTCCTTGCAACTGCCCGCCCGGCAGGCGCATTCCCTCCCCTGTGCAGACTCCTAGAGGTGGGGTAGCTGAGGGAGGAGAGCCAGATCAAACCCAGGTCTGTCCGATTCCCAGGGGGCAGAGCCCAACCAGCTCCCTCTAAAACCAAATCTAAACCAGGACCCAGAATAACAACAGCAAATACGTTTGGAGCAGCCAGCACAAGCCGGCCAGATGAAGCGCCGGATAAATATTAACTTATGTTTGCCTCACAGAGCCCTGCAAGAAAGTAGATTTATTATCCCCGTTTTATTGATTAAGAAAGTGAGGCTCGGGACGGGAAGCCACTTGCTAGTGACCCAGACCAAGACTTGGATGGCTTAGAGCCTGAGCTCCCAGGCCCGCACTTTCCCCACCACGCTCCTGCCACCAGCCGGGCAGCAGGGATGAGGACGCACCTGTCTCCCGCCTCCGAGGCCCTGGTGGGCAGGAGGTCACTTTGAGGCTGCGGCTCTGTCCGGGCCTGGGCGGTTCCTCTGACTGTACTGCCAGGAGCTTCTCTGGAAGCCAGGTGGGCAGCCAGGCAAAGCCCAAGGCCATTTCCAAACCTGGGGCAGGGGCCTCGGAGGAAATGCAGTAACAGGAGGTGAAACGTCCTGCACGCTAAGATTTGTTTTGTCAAAGCTGTGTTTGCTTAGTGACTACCTTCAGGGAAGCATTTTTCAAACACCAAGATTTTTTTTTTTCCTTTTTCTTGGGTAACAGGGAGGAGGAACTCGGTCTGGATGGATTCACCTCCCAGAGGACTCCAAATGGAAAATCACTGCCCAGAGAAGGAGCTGGAACAGAAGGAAACGAAGGCCTGGAAGGGAGGAAATGAAGCTGGGAGAAGGGTGGAGAGCACTGAACAAGGAGTCAGGAGGCCGCCAGCATCTTGGGCAACCGCCCCCCCCCCCCCCAGCCTCCCCATTTGCACAGTTAAGAGGCTGGGATGGAGGCCTCTCGCGACGCCCACTGTGATCAGTGCTCACGGGGTCTCACGTCCCATGAATGTCAGTCCCCAGAAGGGCACCCACGCGTGAGCTTTATTCGTGCCTATTGTGGGTGAGACTCCAGCCCAGGAGTCCAGGGCACCGAGCACACACCTTCTCTGCCCCTCCAGGCCCACGGCGCCGGAATCATCCGAACTGGACAGGAGGTGGGAACAGAAGCAAACACAACGTGTGTATTTCATGCTTTCGACAATCCGTCTCACTTAGTCCTCAGGATGCCTTAAAGTGGGTACTATTATTTCCACCTTATTCACGGGAAAACTGGGGCTCAGCGAGGTTCACAGGCAGCCCGAAGCCACCCCGCTAGTGAGGTCTGAACCTCCAGAGCTCTGGCCCTGGCACCTCCTGGAGATGGTGTGCAAGGGGGCGGGGCTGCTCCAGGGCAAGGGGTGGGCTGCGAGTGGCAGGTGGTCTGGGCCTGTCTTTCAGAAACGCCTGGTGCACCCCAGCTGTCCTGACCAGTGGGCTGGGGAAAACAACGCACTAGGCAGCAGCTCTGAGAACCACCGGGTCAGCTCAGTGGGGCACCCGGCACCAGCCAGGCACACGATCAGGCCTCCAGGGCACATGAAGAGCAAGCGGGCCAGGCTGCTGTGCTCCTGATCCCAAGCTCGGGAAGGGGGGTCTCTGGGAGGGTGGCCTGAAAGAACCAAGATGCTCACTGCTCACAGCCCTGCCTCTGCCCAGGAGCTTCCTCCATGTGGACCCTCCTCCCGCCTTCCCTGTCCCACCAGTGAATTCACGCTCACTTGCTCAGCCAAGATCCCCCCCTGGCTTCCCTCGGGCCAGGGTCGCAGTTCCCTGGGCACCCTCCTCTGTCCCACTGCGAAGTGTCTGCCTCCCCCACCAGACTGAGTTTCCAGGCAGCTTCGCTCCCAGCCCACCTGGAGGGCTGTCATCTGGGGTCACAGCCACCCCAGAACTCCCCAGCTGATGAAATGCTGATTCATTTCAGGCCCCTAATCAGGGAGGAGCAGCCAGCTCCCACTTGAGGCCTTAATTACACAGGGTCCGCCCACTCCCCCTGTGACAAATGAGCACATACAAGACCTTGTGCTGACAGAGATTTGAATCCAGGACTGTCTTTTGCTCTGGGGGCCCAGAGACACATCTGCATCTCTGAGGCCTCCAGCGAGGCCACACCTACGTGAGAACTAGTCACCCTCCCCCCCGCCCCCCACACTCCCACCTGGAAGACAAAGGGGATTCTCAACCATCCCTCCCCCCAACCAGGGCAGCTGCCCCTGGCCAAAACCCACTCCCTCTTCCCTTAGAAGGGGACCCCCTACACACCATGACCCCAGCAGTAAGCCGCAGTGAGTGAAGCTCCGAGAGGCTGAGAGAGGCCTCCGCTTCCACAGCCCCCACCCGCAACTGCGCTGTGTAACTCAGAGCTGACTTGCCCGAGACCCCGGAGGGAAGGGGAGGAAAAGGAGCCGCCGTGACCAGGTGCCCACTGCGCTGCCGGGCCTCTTGCGGAACAGTATGCTCTTCTAAGAGGGAAGCAGTGCCCATTTTACAGATGAAAAAACCAGAGCCCAGAGGACTGTGACTTACACAAGGGCTCACAGCCAGGGCCGGAGTCAGACCCAGACAGTCACCCCCAAATCCAGGCTTTTAACCATGAGGCTGCTCTGCCCCTGGCAGGCCCGCAGCTGGAGGACAGAGTCCCTGACAACAGCCACAGGAATGAGACCAGTATTGGCAAAACAAACGGCGATGGCCAAGACAACGGCCTGGATACCAGACAGTCGGCTAATTCTCAGCCGCGACCCAATGGGGTGAGGGCTTGCTATTTCCATTTTGCACGTGAACAGACTTACACTCGGAGAATTCACATGACTCCTTCAGGCCACACAGCTAGCTATGGAGGGGCCGAGCCAGGGCTTGGAGTAACATGAGTTTTAGGGCCTGACCTGTTCCCTGGGGCTCGGGGATCTGGAACTGCGTTCCTCCCAAGCAAAGACCTGACCTGAGCCATCCTGGCTGCAGCCCCACCCTTTCCCACACCACCTGCCCAGTCTCCCTCTTTTTCCAGCCACAAAAAAAAAAAAAAAAAAAAAAGGAAGGAAGCTCACTTACTGTGTCTGGGGCGGGGAGGCCGCTGGGTCTGGGTCTGCGTCTGCGGAGAAGAGCAGAAGGAGAGCCCGTCAGGCCGGGGCCGGCCTGGTGGACACCCCGTGGTGCAGGAGACAGGGCCTGGCCAGCCTGGGCGCCTGCAGTGCCCGCCTCCTTCTTCCAGTCTCTTCAGTCATCAAGCTCCCCTACCTGTCCTGCCTGCACCACCCCCACCTCCACCCCATGGCCCACATCCCAACTCCAACCAGCACCAGAGGCTGAGCCTACTCCGGGCCTGTCCCCCACCCCCAGCTCCTCAAGGAGTCCCTTGTCCCCAAGGCTGCAGGAAGTTCCTGCTAGTCCAGTTCCCAGTCTCTCCCCATGACAAAATCAAGAGCCCAGCAGCTGCCATTTAACACCAGCCTTATCAGGGCCTTCCCGCCTCCAGGCCACCCGCTCTCTGGGAGGAGCAGCCTCTGGCTGGTGTGATTCCCTGGGAGAAGCTTCAGGGAGAGGGGTGGCTTCAGAGGCAGAGCCGAGCCAGCCACTTCCATTTACTCTGTGCCAAAGCGCACCAGATGCTGCAGGAATGCTAGGAATGCTTGTTCCCAGGGGAGGCCACGGAATGCAGCTTCTTCCCAGTGGCTTCTCCCTTCCTGCTTCCTGGGGACAGCAGAGGAACCAGAGGCAGGACTGGGAGCCTGGAGCTCCACCCCAGCCCAGAGGCCTGGGGATGGGGGAACCCAAGGCTCCCAGAGCACCTTACCCGTGACAGGGGCCGCGTCCAAATGGATCAGGGGGGCGTCTGTGTCCTCTGGAGCAACGCCTGGCACGCCCAGGCCAGCACTGGTGTCCTCGTCATCGTCACTGTCGTCAAACTCAAAGGGCTCTCCAGGGTCGTCCTCCGCCTCTGGGGAGGGGCCTAGGCCTCCTCCAGGAACCAGCTGATCGCCTGGAAGGGAGGAGGAGTTACCAGCTGGGCGGCAGGGTCTCGGGGTTAGGCCAAGGGAGAGGTGGCTGGAAATGGGTGAGAGCACAGTTCCCAGAGACCAGAGCAAAGCCACGCTCCTGTGCCCCTGAGGTTGCCTGTGGTTGGGTTGGACTCTAAGCAGATGGGAGAGGATGGAGGGGCAGAGAGCAGGCTTCCACGGAGAGCATGTGCACATCTGTACCTGAAGGCAAGTTATTCATCGTCTTGTTTCCTGTTTTCCTATTTGGTAAGTAAGGGGGTTATTCATTTATTTATTAACGGGCTCTGGCCAGTTTCGTTAAAGGAAATTTTTGCACGATTTGCTTCTCACCGGTCTGTCTGGCACGCCTTCAGTGATATCGGAACCCCCTGGGTCAGCGACAGCCCGTGCGCACACTCTAGTATTGTCCACACGCTGTGCCCAATTCAGTGTCGTTGCACTGCAGTGATGGACAGCGGTCTTGGGCGACCAGGCTAGTGCTCTATCTCAGGCTTGCTCAAGGCGGGGCAGGTGCTGGCGAAGATGAGCAGGTTCTCTTTGCCTCGTCTGCTCAGCCTGGGACTCTGCTTGTGCCCCAGCGCCGACTTTCCACTTTTCATAGCAGGTTGGAGCCCACAGTGGATCGACCAGCGACGCTTTCGTCTTCTTTCCTGCCTTGGCATAGTGCCTGGCATTTGTGTTACCTCACAGCTTCGTCCCAGTGGCTTCTCCCTTCCTGTTGTCGTAACCACTGCCCCTCCCACCTGAGATCCTTGAGGACAGGACAGTCTGGTCCACGGGTGCTCACAGCTGGAGGATGAATGGGCAGGGAGGTGGATGGAGCAGAGATGGTGGGTGGGCCAGCAGACAGACAGATGGACAGATCGGATCCCAGCAGTCTCTCTGACCAGAAAAATCCAACCCCTCCCCCACAGCGACCTGGGCCTCCAGAGCAGAACGTGTTCGGTGCGAATGTATCAAATCCCAGAAGCCCTTTCCTCAGCAGAACCCAGAGCTCACCCTCCCTCCCCAACTTCCTCTGCGGGATGATGACCAGATGGAGGCCACTGAGCTGGGGACCCCGCCCCTCCTGGAGCTTTGGGGACCCCATGAGCCAACAGCGGCAGGTGGACTCCGCTGGGCACGAGCTCCTTGGCAGGTGTGGAGAAACAAACTCAGCTGAGAGCCTTAAGTGTGCCCCGTGGAGCCCCCACTGAGGCCTCACAACCACCCCATCGCGTGACACAAGGCCACGGGGTTTCCAGAGCGAAAGTGCCCGCAGCCACACGGCTAGTAAGTGGGGAGCCTTGTCTGAACGCAGATCTGGCTTTACCCACGTCCCTCACTCTTCCCACTGAGCCCCGCTGTCTCCTGGAAGCCACCTGGCCCGGGTGATGCGCTAACAAAGGAAATGCGGGGCCCCCATGGGAAGCGGGCCATGGTTTTCAAGTGACAGGTCTCCAATCACTGGTGGGTCACAAAAGCAGCCAGGAGCTTCCCAGACAGCATGCTGTTTTGTGTATGGACTGCCTATTTGAGATATTTTTAAATTTTGTAACAGTCATAAAGTCACAGTTAGTATTACTTTTGGTGTTGTTTGTTACGCTTCTGTTCCGTTAATGTGATATATCAAACTGTTTCAGTTTCAGGTAATGTGTGTATGCATCCCATTTCGTGTGTGTGCCTGCATGTGTATGCATGCCTTTGTGCGTGTGTGTGCGCGTGTGCATATGTGTGCATACGTGTATGCGTGTGTGTAACCTTCCACTGCTCTGCCACGCTCAGTCCACTGCAGCCACACTGGCCCCCTTGCTGCACCGTGACTGAGCCACACTTGCTGCTGCCTCGGGCCTTTGATCTCTAGCCCAGGGTCCAGATGCTCTTCCCCAGGGGTCTTCTCCTTCTCACCTCCTTCAGGTCTTCACTATACGCACCTCCCTGACCAGAGCTGCCCAGGGGAACACTGGGGCTCCCTCCCTCATGGGGCCACATTTTTCTCTGCGGCCCTGTGAGTACGTGACAGGCTCCAAGTTTCATTCCCCTCACTGTCCGTCTCCTCTATGAGAGCAGGCATTCTTGCCTATTTCACTCATTGTTGAATCCCCAGCATCTGGCACAGTGCCAAGCACATGGCAGGCACATAATAAGTATTTGTTGAATTCACACACACACACATATACTCCTGTGGTCTTATCTATGGGTTGTGGTTTTAAAAGTTTAAAAAATATGGAAACAAATGACTAAAAATCCCTGCCCACCACTTCTGGGCACCGGGATACAGGCCCATCCTGACCAAGAGGGCTCAGCGCCCTGGGTGCCTGCCCACTGGAGTCTGCTAGGAGGGCAATGGCGGGGAGGGATTCCCTTTATGCCTGGCACCCGACCGGTATCACTGTAGTGAATACAGTCTCAATCCATCTGGGTCAGACTCCAGCTCTCCCACACACGGGCTGTGTGAGCGTCAAGTTAGTCTACCCGCCCAGCTGCAGTTTCCTGCTCTGTAAAATGAGGATAATAATTGTAACCACCTTATCGTGTTGTTGGGAGGATGGAATGAATGAACTAACGCATATAAAGCACCTGGAGCCAGGTACATGCTCACTGAATGGCAGCCATTCTTATGATGATTCTATTCATGATCACTGTCATTGCATCATCATCACCATCATTACTATTATTATTATTATTACTACTATTGCCCTGAGTCACAGCCCAGTCCTTGCCCCTGGGTGAGATGGGCAGGCCTTCCCCACTCACAGGCCAGGCCCAGACCATGTCCAGGGACTCAGGCCATTTCTGCACCTTCTCCCTTTGACAGTACAAATGGCCTCAGTTAGCCATCAATCCACACAGTCATTCCCACCTTCAGTGAACTGTTCCCAGCAGCCGCTGGACCATGACCTGTGCACGCCAGCCCAGAAGATGGGACCTCTCAGTGCCAAGGCGCTCACTGCGGGGTGAGGCAGGCAGAGGAGACAAGAGAGAAACATAAAACCCAGAGACTGATCTGGCGCTGAAAGAGAGGAGAGGGGCCCATGCCAGCCGGGGCCTCGGGCAAAGGCTGCCCCATGCAGAGCACTGAAGGGTGAGCAAAGGTCCAACAGGATTGGGTGGGCAGAGGTGTTCCAGGCTGCGCCCAGAGCAGGTGCAGAGAACATTGAGGGGCCCAGTGGAGCTGAACACGTGAGCAAGAATGAAGAGCTATGAGACGACAAGAGATGCTTCGGGAATCTGGATTTTATTTGAATCCAGAAAGCTCTCAGAGTCAGAAAATGGCCAAGAGCCTGGCTCAACCAGAAGACAGTCACCAGCAACATCAGATAGACCTGGGACAATAAATGCCCATCAAATATTTCTTGAATAGAACTGAGTAGATTTAATCATAAAATGATTTTGTTCTCACTCTCCGTGTCTGGGCCCCTTGGGAGGTAAGAGAAAGGAGGGAAGGTGACCATGGCAGCAGAGGCCGGGGTGGACACATCCTGGGACCCAAAGTCATGGCCATGAATCGGGAGATGCCCTTGTTCCCAGTGCTGTTCCCAGGCTCCTGGGTCCCAGGCAATCAGACCTCACTGCTTATCAGGAGGAAAAATCAGGAGGCCCATCCCTGGATAATTGACAGCTGAACGAAGCCCTTCCCGCCCATCTAGACAGGTGGCATGGCCAGAGCTAGCCACATACACCTTTGATGCTCCTGGACACGCCCCGTCCTCGGCAGAGCCAACCCCAGTGAGGCCAGGAGGCCGGGCCCAGAAAGCCACTCGTGCTGTGGAGAAGGCGAGTCCACCTGCTGAGCCCCACCCTCCAGAGAACACAGCTCTGTGCAGGGCACACGCAGCGCATGCAGCATCCTGCCAGCGCCCCACAGTGGTAACAGCTTCCATTCATTGAGCGATCAATGACCACACGCCAGAGCCTTACCTATATTTAAGCCTCGCCATAGGGAGGGTGTCATTATTATCCCCAGTCAATGGGTGATGAAAGGGAGCCATAGAGACACCCAGCCACCAAGGACGGGGCAGTGGCAGGGTCAGGCTGAGAAAGAGCCCTCCTCGTTACCACTCTGCTGTCCGCCTCCCTAGTGGGGACAAGAGGACAGGACGCCGGGCCTAGTGGGTGAACCAGCCTGGGTCCAGCTCCTCCCAGGCGGGGCCTGAATTCCACCTGCGGCGTCTGAGGCCCCACTGCCTGGGTTGCCAGATAAAACACAGGCTGTCGAATTGAATTTCAGGTGAACAACAAATAATTGTATTAACATAAGTATTCTTTTGTTGGGAGGTGGGGGTTTTTTGTTGTTGTTTTTGGAGCAAGTCTGAAAGCTCTGCCACTGGATGGCCCGACCTTGGCACCTTCACAGATGGAGAGAGATGGCCCAGCCCGTCCCCTCCACCCTCGGGCTCCACCCTCGATTCATAAGCTTCGTCCCCTGGCACACTTCAATCCCAGACGGGCTCTGCCCATCTCTCCAGGGGACCCTTGTTGGGAGCCCACTCTGAGGAGGGAATTATTCTTTCCCTGTTGCAACAAGGAAACTGAAGCAGAGAGGTGAAGTCACCTGCCCAAGGGCACACAGCTAACTGCCAGTGAAGCCAGATTCGCACCCCCCGGGGTCAGCCTGCTCCCCAGCTGGTGGCCCTCTCCCAGGGTACGGTACCTGCAGCAGCCTGTGGAGGAGGACTGGAGGAAGCCATCAGACAAAGTCCAGCTCAGACCAGCACCGTCCCAGCCGCTCGCCTGTGAAAAGAAGGCCAGAAGTCTCATTAGATGACGTTCAAGGCCAAAGCTTCAGCAACAGAGAGGGGTCACTGGCTCAGGACCTGTGCACTGCAGCCGCCAGCTCTCACACTCCTTCCCCAGCAGCCCGGGAGCCCAGGACAGCCCAAGAGGGCCCAGCCCCCACCATCGTAAATCATTAACCCGGAAAAACCAGCAGCTGCAGGACCATAACCCTATCTTCCCAGAAAGCCCCTGCCGCCACTGGCCTTCGCTTTGACCAATGCCAGGGACCCTCAGGAGCCTGGCGGGTCCAGCTACACTACACCTGCCCCTTTTGACTTGTGGATGAAGCTCCAGCCCCAGAAACCAGGATCATGCTCAGCCCCCATGTCCCAGGAGTTTATCACACCTGAACTCTCAGGGAGGTGGCCGGACACCTCCGCCTCCTGGCTGTCCAATAACCACAGGCTCCCGGAGCCCAGCCACTCTCACCAGCCCCTGCCTAGAGCCCCGCTGAAGGCCATTCGCTCTCTATCCCTCCCTGTCCTGCCCAATGGGGTTGGCCAGCCGGCAAGGGGCCACCCAGCCATGGCACGTGGGTATAAAGAAAGGAAAGGGGTGCAGAGAGGCCGATGGTGCAAGACAGGGGCAGAATCCCACATGCTCAGAGCAGGGAACAGGGGAACAGGGAGCAGGGAGCAGTTTCTGCTGGCCTCACACTGGGGGCTCATGCCACCCAGAAGCCAGTGCCTCTGGTGGCTCCCTGGACCCTAGAGCAAACCTGCCAGATGTCCCTGCCGAGCAGTGAGGGAAAGAGTTCTCCCGCTCCCTACCGGCACCCCTGATTGGGAATGAGGGGCTGTCCTTCTAGACTTCCTGGTGGAGGAGAGAGGCATCCCGGAGGGACAGCACCAGCCCTTCTGTCTACCCAGCCCCCACCATAAGCTGGCTGCGTGTCTGTTTTCCTTTCCACCCCTAAAGCCGGTGCTTCTATTAACTGGCTTCCTGACTAAGAACAGAACGCACGTAAATGGCAGTGAATTAATAACAGCAAACATTCATGTAGCGCCTACTCTATCTCAGACATTACGCACTTTACAAATAACGGTGACAGATCGGAATCCACATTATAAAGGAGAACATGAGGCCCAGAGTAGTTGAGTAAGTTGCCCAAGATCACACAGCTGGTAAGTGGCAGAGCCAGGGCTGGAACCCGGGCCATGGGCCCCAGAGTCTACGCTCCTTAAGTAACCACCGTGCTCTCAGAATCCGAACTCAGGGTGCACAATGAAAAGTGAGTCTCCCCCAACCCCAGTTACCCTAATCCCCCAGGAGTGACCACTGTTATGGTTCCCTACGAAGCCTCCAGAACTACCCCACAGGTGACCCAGCCGGCATGCCTGGCTAGCTGCCTTGTTTTGTACAGGAGGAAGCACACCGGACCCGCTGGGCCGCAACCACATTTTTTGCTTAAGAATCTTGGGGATTATTCCAGAACAGTACACAGAAATGGCTCGCTTTTAAAATGGCTGCATAATATTGTTTTTAATGTACTGCTGTTGACCAATGTACCATAATCCCTACCAACAGACACGGAGTTGTTTCCAGGCCTTTGGTGTTATAAACAATGCAGCAACTAACATCCTCCCTACATAACGCCTTGAGTAAGGGGGTGCGTGAGCCAGGACAAACGCCTTGAAACGGACCTGCTGGGTCAATTTTGATTGAATGCAAATTGCTCTCCACTAAGTGTGTGACTGAAGACTGTTAGGTCGGAGAAAGCCCAGGATCGGATACATGCAGACATGACAAGAAAATGGACTTCCCCTGGAATTTCTCACAGATCAAGGTGCCAGACACAGATACCAGCTTCTTCTCCCTGAATTCACATACCCCCACACAGATGAGAACTTCGTCCTGAATATTCCGCCCATTCCCTGCAGCAGAGAATTCCTCAGCTCATGTCCCCGCCCCTCACCCAACCGCAGTATAAAAAAAGCGCCCCCCTCCCTGTTGGCGTGAATCCACGTGCCCTGTCTTTGGGGTACGTGGGTCTCCCGGGGACGCAGAATAAACCTTTTCCTTTCCTTTCTTTTCTGATTCACTGGACTCTATTTCTTGCGCCGCCTCCTGAGCCACCTAACCTAACAAAAACTCTCAGGACTAAAATGTTGTTCCCAGCAAAGGATTTGGGAAAGCGAACTAAAATGTCTGCGTGCCCCTGCAGCTGCCTCCTCCCGGTGGGCTCATTCAGAACCGCTCAGGAAGGAGCAGGGAGTCGGATACCCATTTTACAGGAGGAAGGAGGGAGGTGCCTAGCGCAGGCCTGTGTGCAAACCACTCCTTCAACACAATTTTCTGATGATGCAGAAACCCAGGATCATCCCTCCAGGCCAGACAGTCTGCTGTCCTCCCCTCTCCCCTCACCCTGCAGGGCTGATTCCCACCCTCCACTCCAAGCCCAGGGCTCCCACCCCCCACCCCCCACCCCCCAAAAAGGAAGAGAGACAGCAACATCCATAAAGCCAGAGCTTTATTTGCATTGTTCCATTTACAAATAAGGAAACCAAAGCTAGGAAGAGTAAGGCGTTGCTCCCGGTCACAGACGCAAGGGAACAAGGTGACAACACTAGGAATCAGTCAGAGGGCATGGCCCCCCCAAACCTGGTGTCACTCCTTTAACCATACAGCCTCCCAGGACTTTGGAATCTAAGGTGGGGGGAGGGGAGGGCTATAAGCTAATCTCGGGCAGTGAGGTCTTGGGCAAGGACACATGCGTGCCCATAGGCCTATGGCCACCATTGTGTGCACACAGGTACCCTTAGTTCACAGGATATGGACAAGGGAGTAGGGATGGCTCACAGCAGCCCATTGTCACCACCAGAGACCCTCAGGGTGCAACAGTTAGGAGAGAGTCCAGGCTACCTGCTACCACCTGGGTGGGTCCCACCATTCAGCAGCTGACACCTTGGATGCGTTACTTAACCCCCATCTCTGGGCTTCAGTTTACTCACCCGCAGAATGGAGATTACAAAGTAGCCACCGCAAAGGGTGATTGAGGAAGTTAGAAGTAAAAACGTGTAAAGCCCTGGGACCCACTGGTCTGTGCTGTCAGGCACGGGTGGTGATGACCGCAGCTCTGCCTTGGGAGTCGGGGCCCAGGCTGGAATCTCAGCTTCGCGGGCAGGCGAGCTAAGCCTCAGTGTCCTCATCTGTAAATGGGGCCACCTGCCCCACGGGACTCCCAGCAGCACACCGGAGGTCAATCACAAAGCCCCGGGCAGACTCGGTCAGAGCCAAGATGCCTGTCCTTAAAGCTGTCACCACCAAAATTGGGGGGGCAGCAAATGGGACTCTGTGTCTGGGCTCCATACCCCAAGAGGGTAAGGGACCCGAGGTGGGCTCACAGAGGGACCCCGAGACCCCAGGGCTTCAAGCGGTGGGGATCTGGGACTGTGGCCTGGGGCAGCCGGAGCCACCTGCAGGCTGGGCTCTGCCTCGTCTCCTCAGAGACCTTGGCCTCCCCGAGGCCCCTGATGGCCCGGGGCTTTGTCTCTTAAAAGTGGAACCTGCACCTGCTCAGACCATCCCAGGGGCTGCTACACGCAAGGAGCCAGGTCATGGGTGGCAGCGACAAGGCCACAGTGGTTACAAAGATGAGATTTATTGTAGATCTGAGTTCAGATCCCAGTCTGCACTTGCCGGCAGGACAGTGAACACCTTTCTCACTGGTCCCTGCCAAGCAGAGTTCCCACGGGGATGGGATGAGGGCTGTGTGAGTGTGCAAGGTATTCCACAGAGTAAGCTCTCTGTGCACAATGGCCACCATTATCTTTACGACGATAACAACGTCATGCTTGGGTGATAGGGGAGAGTTCTTCTCTTGGGGGGGGGGGGGGGTCATCTCTTTAAAGATGGCTGCCATACTGGCCGGGCAGGCAGACCCCCAAAAGGTGCCCTTTCCCGTTACACGACGCAGAAGGGCCACAGTCAGACAGGATGAGATGCTGGGAGCCAGGGTGGAAGCCCCAGCTCAAGCTGCAGGGTATGTCTCAGCCGATCACGCTCACTACCGGGACCACCCTCTGCCTCTTCCTCATCGCTTTTCAGAACAAAGTCAAGGCCCTAAGCAAGGCCCTAGATGACACACAACCCTCCCCACTGACCCCGCCACTGGCCTCAACAGCTCCCACCTACCCTTCAACCCTACCCCCCTGCCTCAACAGCTCCCACCCGCTGACCCCTGCCTTACAGGGAACTCTGCTCCAGCCTCAATGAAGAGCTGTCAGGCCTGCGACCATGCCAACTTGTCTCACATCTCTGGGCCTTTTGCTCAGGCTATTTGCTCCCTCCAGGGAGAATTCTCTTTCACAATCAGCAAGCAAACTCCTACTCAACCTTCAAAACCCAGACCCAGTTCTTCCTCTGTGAGTCCTCCCCAGATCCATCTCAGGCAGTGGCTCTCAAGCCAGGTGGTGGAGCTTTTTAAAAAAACAGATGTGACCCAGGCCTGAGATTCAGTAGTTCAGGGATGCGGCCAGGGAGAGGCTATTATCAAAGAGCTCAGGTGACCCTGGGACACATACAGCCCCTATTATAACTGCCTCCCTCGCTAGACTGTGACCGCTTTTTTCATCTCAGTGTCTGGAGCCCTGGCCCACGTGCGAGACAACAGCTGCTGAGCTGCACTGAACTGAGGCCAGAGGCCAAGAACCGAAGAGCCTGGGAACCTCACCCTGCTTGGGACCTACTCTGTGGAGTCCGTGCGGCTGGGGCGTCCCTGGGCCCGGGGCAGCTGCAGGGGTGGGACTTCCTGCCCAATGGAAAGAGGAGCCCAGGTTCAGCTGAGAACGTCAGCCGCCGCCCCCGCCGCCACCTCCCAGTGTCCTCCGCTCCGTCCAGGAAGACAAGAGGAAGAGGCAGGGTGCCAGCGGGACAGTGGGAAGTGGGGCCCACAACTAGTGTCTGCAGGGGGGCAGGACACTCACACTCTGCCCTCGCAGGCTCAGCACAAGTGGCCATCAGCCACAAAGTCGGGGGCAGGTGGCTCCCGGGGCCCTGGAGAGATGAGGCGCCCGATCCAAGAAAACACCAGAGGAGCTAGGGCAAGAGGAGCATGAGCAGAACTCAGCGCCCAGGAAGAGAGGCGTGAAGGGCTCAGGCTGGGTCCGAGGACCCAACTTCAGACAATCTGCAGCTCTCCAGGGCAAGGCCTCGCAAAGTTCTTGTTTTTGTTTTATTGGTTTCATGGAGGAAGGAAGAGGGAGAGATAGAAACATCAATTGCTGGAAACCAAGATCAACAGTAATTAATATAAATGCGATAAGTCCACCAGAAGGCTGAGTTTGGACTCCTTTGATATTCACAGGGTGAATTTGCATTTCATTACCTAGGGCTGACTCAGTGGCCTAAAGCAAACTCCCCTCTAACCTGATAATCTTACTGTTTACTAAACATTACCATTGATGTGTCTGTTTGCATTCCTAAAAGGCACTTGTGTATTCTAGTAAATAAAAGCAGCTGGGAAAGGAGACTCAGTGGAACTTAACTACGACAGTTAAGCTTTTCCTTGGCTTCCCCCCATAATTTCAAAATTAATTTTTCTTGTCTTGTGTGTCAATTTGCGCATCAGCTCTTTCTCCAAGCCTTTGAACCCGCTGGCCGTGGCTTTTCACAATCAATGATGAGAGAGAATCACTGATTGGCCAACTTCTACACACCCCCTACTGGGATCGAGCTTGCAACCTGTGCACGTGCCCTTGACGGGAATTGAATCCAGGACTCTTCAGTCCACAGGCCAACACTTTATCCACCGAGAAAATCCAGCTAGGGCCCTCGGGAAGCTTTCCACCCTCTGTGTGTCCTGTCCCCATTGGTCAGAGGCAAATGTAAATGAAATGATGTCTAATAAAGCTGGTAGCGTCTTAATAAATGTCAGTTCCCTTCCCAGAGTTCCTGCCTTCCTTGAGTACACTCGGCGTTGTCCCATTCTGCGGACTGCTCAACTGAGTCCAGGTCAGCCGTGGCCAGAAAGGTGCCCTTACCCTCATCACCCCCGAGATCACAAAAGGATCGTCTGCGAAATGATAATGGCTGAGCTCTGAGCACTGCCATGCACCAGCCTCATGCTGAACGTTTCCGTTTTTGTCTAACTTCATTCCCACAGCAGATGAGGAAAAGGAAGCTGAGAAACTGAAGGACGTTCTCGAGGCCATGCAGCCACTGAGAGGGGCGTCACTGGGCTGTGAGTGGGGACAGCCAGGCGGGCCCCTGGGACAGAAGTGCTGGGTGCGTACATGGGTAAGGGGGTGAGCATCTTCCAGGCCCTCCCCATGGCAGGGGCCTCCGAATGCCAGAGAGACAAGAGGGCCAGCTCCTGCCCTCGCCCTCTAGGCGCCAGGCCACTCAAGGGGCTTCCCGCGCTGGGAAGGGGGAGGGAGGCTCTGAGAGGAGCAGTGGGCAGGGGTGAGGCTTGGTCAATGGCTGAAGCCTCAGACAATGGAGGCTCTGTTCCCGCCAGGGAGGGAGCCCCGAACCCCACCCTCCTTCCTCCATTGACTTTCTTGGCTAGGCGAGCCCCTGGTCAGTGATCCCCGGGCAGGACAGGAGGGGGCAGCCCCAGGAGGAGGCCTCTGGGCAGAAGAGCCCACCCACACCTCACCCCACACCCCTGCAGAGGGCATCTCTAAGGGCTGTTGCCTGGGAAACCAGAACCAGCCAGAAGCTTCAAGACCCCGCAGTGGGGGGCCAGAGGGGCTGCCACCAGACTGGCCCCCAGCCTTTTCTCCTCCTCACAGTCCCAGGCACATTAACCCCTTTGTCCCCAGCTAACCAGCCCAGACAGGCGGTGCCAGGCTGAAGGGCCAGGTGAAAAGTCTCCTAATATGGCTGAACTGTCCTGACCTCATGGCCAGAGCGTCCCAGGTGATAGGGCCCCACCGCGCGCGCACACACACACTTGGAGGCCAGAAGGGGACAATATGGCCTTTGCGCTACCCCTTCACCTTTCTGAGCCTCAGTTTCCCCATCAGAAGCCACCTCTCAGGCAATCCAGTGCCACGTGATCCGAGCAGCAGAGCATTTCCACGCGAGAAACAAACCGAGAGGTGGGTTCTGTTAGGTTGGAGAGAGCCCAGGATCGGATACATGCAGACATGACAAGATAATGGACTTCCCCTGGAATTTCTCACAGATCAAGGTGCCAGACACAGATACCAGCTTCTTCTCCCTGAATTCACATACCCCCACACAGATAAGAACTTCGTCCTGAATATTCCGCCCATTCCCTGCAGCAGAGAATTCCTCAGCTCATGTCCCCGCCCCTCACCCAACCGCAGTATAAAAAAAGCGCCCCCCTCCCTGTTGGCGTGAATCCACGTGCCCTGTCCTTGGGGTACGTGGGTCTCCCGGGGACGCAGAATAAACCTTTTCCTTTCCTTTCTTTTCTGACTCACTGGACTCTATTTCTTGCGCCGCCTCCTGAGCCACCTAACCTAACAGGTTCCACTCCCTTCTTTCCCAGCTGCAGCTCAGTGAGGCGGGACCAGGACACGAAGGTGAGTCTGACTCCATGCAATTCAACGGAGCAGGTGCTGGGGCAGGATGGACACTCCAGGCTGCAGAAATGGCCCCGACAAAGGCAGAGAGCCTCAAGGGAGCTGGGTTTCCAGCAAGGGCACCTGGCGGGTTGGGTGCTCTCCCCACCGCTCTGCCAGCCGCCGCCCCAGAGCCACCAGCAACAGAGCCACCAGCAACCCTCACGATGCCCAATGCAGTGGACATGGCTCAGCCCCCCTCAGCCTCCCCACCACTTGGCTGCGCCCTTCTCCATACGCTCCCTCCGCTCTCCTTCCTGCCCAGCCCCGGCTCTGCTCCCTCTCCTCCACCCCATCCTCAGGACATCCAAACGCTGGCCTGGCTGCTGCCTGGCTCGCTGGCCACTCCCAAGCCCGCCCCCTCTCTGCCTGTGCCTTCCTGGGCGACCTCCCCTCCTCCCTGGTTTTTAAGACCATCTCCGAGATGATGACTCAACTGAGTTTCCCTTGGACTCCAGACTTCTGCCTGGAAACAAGCCTGTTCAGCATGTCTGCCCGTGGTCGACTGCGCATCTTGAACTTGCCACCCATCCAAACTGCTGCCCATCACCCCTGTTCCTTCGTCCTCCCAGCTCACCTGATGGCAGCTCCAGCGTGCCAGGCACTCAGACTAAGAGCCTCAGACTCACCCTGGCCTCCCTCTTCCTCTCACACCTCCATCCTACCCTCAGCAGACCTGTTGGCTCTCCCTTCCAAATATGTCCCGAATCTGACCACTTCTCACCACCCCTCCCCCACCACCACCTGGTCCAGACCGGCATCAGCTCCTATTGGGACCATTAAAATTACCCCTTGATTGGTCTCTAGCTCCCACTTTGTTTTCAACACAGCAGCCAAGTTACTCCTCTGCTCAAACCCTCAAATGCTTCCCCAGCTCATTCAGGGTGGAAGACAGAGTCCCCACCTTGGCCTACAAGGCCCTACATGGTGTACCCCCACCCCCCACTACCTTCCTGACTCAGATCCTACCTCTGCCCCCGTAGCTTATTCTACCCCAGTCACAAGAACCACCGTGCAGTTCCTCAAACACCCCACACAGGCTCCGGCCTCAGGGCCTTTGCACGTGCTGCTCCCTCTGCCTGGATGCTCCCTCGCCTCCTCTGGGCTCCGATCAAAGGTCACCCTGTCAGAGGCTTCCCCAACATCCTCTTTAAAACAGCACACACACCTTCCCATCATGCTCCTTGCCCTGACCCGACTCCCCTGTCTTCATAATATTTAATACATCTGGGCACCTGTACACTTCAGTTGTTTATAACAGCCTCCTCCTACGAGAATATGGACTCGACGGAGGCCAGGGCATCATTATTTCTGTCCGTTGCTCTATCCACAGCCCTGGATCAGGGCCTGGCAGACACTGGGCCTCAGCACACACCTGCTAAGTGGATGAAGGAACCCCTTGGTCTGGGTCAGTCCTGCCTCCACCGTCAGGGGAGGGGATAGGGCAGCCCAGGCCCGTTGGGCATCTCGGTCTGGGACTGGGCCTCCTCCTGCCTGAAATCAGCCTGTGGCCAGGACGGCTCCTCCCAGGAGAGCTTAGTAAACAGACTCACTGCCAAGCTGTGCAAGGGGCGGTGCCCCAAAACCAGTATGGGGAGAGGTCTGAGCCAAAGGCAGGGTGTGATCAGAAGGAGAGGGAAGGGAGGGGCAGGGCGGGGGGGGGGGGGCAGGGGGGGCGGGGGGAGGCGGGGACGGGAGTGGGGGAAGGACTTGGACCATAAAAAACTGGCTCCCAAAAAAGACCTCATTCTTGCTCTGCTGAGTCAGAAGCATGTGGCTGGGAAAGGGAGCAGAACCCCAGAGCTCCAATGGCTGCCACCCTCCGCCACAGACAGGTGAGGGACCTGCCACACGTCCAGCTGCCCAGGGTCCAGGCTGGGCGCTCAGGCCCGGGCTGGTGGGCCATGGAGAGGAGCAGGCCTCCTTTCATAGACAGCCCGCTGGCTCCAGTCTGGCCTGGAACACTTTCTTCAGACCCACCTTCTGCCTCTCTCAAGGAGGGGACCCCTTTGTCCCACAAGACAGCTCTGGGCAGGAAGCAACAGCCTTTGCAAAACTCAGAGCTAAAGATAACTCAGCCTGCCCGACCACGGCCCTGCAAGCTGGCCAGGCAGCGTCTGAGGTCTCGGGAAAGGCAAGCCCAGCACGGAGCCCCAGGGGACCAGAGGCCTCGCCCACAAGGCGCAGAGCAGCTCTGGCTGAACTCTCCAAGCAGCTAGCTCTTATTCAAACCCCTCCCCGAGAAATAGGTTGTGTGAATCCAGCTGCTCTCTGTCCTCCAAACCTGGAGGGAGGCACAGAAATGGGTGTCTTCCCACCAGCCCCCAAGCAGGTGGACCATCCCACAAGAGGGCAGGGTCAACCCCATTACAGAGGAGGAAACTGAGAGGGAGAGAGATGATCCAAACTCAAGTTCATCACAGGCAGATCCCTGATTAGATGGATGTCTGCCCCCCTCTTTCCCCTGCAGGGGTTCCTCTCCCTCCCCCAGTGAATCCAGGCCACTCCCCCCTGGCAATTAGCATCACACCTCTGAGAAGACACCGCCTGGGGCTGTGGGACAGGAGGAGCCTGGGCTGCAGGTGCTGGGGGCAGAGAGTGGAGGAGTGGTTGCAACCCTGAAATGGATGGGTCCTGAATCCGGCAGTCCTGGGGTGGAGTCACACCCAGGACCAGGACCCCCACGGGGAACCAGTCCCAAACACGGGTCCGCCTTCATAATCAACTTTAACAAGAAGCTCACTGGCGCTTACCAACCCTGGAACCAGATAGCTTAGATGCTGCCCACTCGCTGGTACTAGAAAGAATTCCTGAACTCCCTCATCTTCTTTCTGTTCTTGGCACTGAACCCGTGCTGGGTGCCGTGAGCTGGGAGCCCACCCCTGCCTACATCCCACTGCAGAAATGCGGCCACTTGTTCAGTGGAAAATGGGGGGCCCACTGCACTCTCAGGGTGGCTCCTGCTCTGCAGCAATCTCCAGTCCTGCCAGGGGGCGGGGGGTGGCATGCTGGGTACCCTTTTCTGCCACCATCTCGCCCTGGGGATGGTTTTTAGGAAAGTGAGCCCTGTGATCAAACCAGGTTGGGTCCCAGCTCCCCACTTCCTGTGACACTAAGATGCTACTTCGCTGTTCTGATCCCTGGCTCCCCCTCGGTACAAGAGCTGTAAGAATCCCTACCTCATAGGGTTGTTATACGGGTTAGATGAGATGAGTCACAAAAAGTGCCTCTCTGAGAGCCTAGAACACAGCAGGGGCTCGATAAATGTTTGCTGAATGAATGAGTGAATGAGCAACCACCTCTTTCTAACGCAGCGGTTCTCAACCTGTGGGACGCAACCCCTTTGGGGGGTGAAC